CCCTAAAACTTCCTTAGAGTTTAGGTGAAATGCTTTCCTTCTGCTTGGCATCCCTCCCATTTATGTCTCTTGGCTCTGAGTCAAACTGATTTTTAATATAATTTCTCATTATTCTTTTTGAGCATGATTTTCTACTCTGCTCTGGTACTTATTTTACATTTTCAGGACCAAATTCCCCTGTTTTCCGGCTTCTTTTCCCTTTAAGAGATCTACTGGAACCTTATATCAACAGAGAAAACTGTCCCATGCTTCCTGGGACAGATTGGTTGAACCTTTATACCAAACTGGAAAGCTTTGCCCACAGCTGCATCCTGCACTTAAAGCAACACAAGCTGCTAATGCCATGCAGTCACCCTGTTGCCTCACAGGGGACTGTGGTCCGAGCATGGCTACTGAGACCTAACAGTGGAATCGATCCCTTGAATGCAGAGTGCATAGGAAAGCAGCTACCAAAAAGCCTCAAGCTGAGCATTAGATTTCTTAATTGTGAATTCTAAAGAGAAGCCACATTGTCAAGACCCTTGATCTAAACTGGTGCTGAGAGCCGTTTAGGCTAAGAGGGTGGTATAGAAATTCAACAAATAAATAAACAAACCTGTTTTTTACCAAATATAGTGGTGGCTCTGATCTCCCTAATAATGGTTTGGCCTCAATTCAGTGAGTCCCTCACTGCTGCAAGCACCAAAATGGTTATCAGTCTTCTTGAAATATTGTTTAGTAGTGCGATAAGCGGCAGCATTGCCCCACTGTTGGCATCTGGAACTCAGCCGAGAAAGCTGAGATTAGTTTATGCTCACAGTACTTCTCTAATTTTAAGCAATGGGGAAAGGAATCCTTTGGGTTTTCCTGTCTCTGGTCACGGAAGTATAACTTTATTTACTTTCCTTTCACAAATCTTAAAAGATGATTCCTAATCCTATTCTGAAGGTATCTAATTCCAATACATAGCCCACTGGAGGCTTTTGATCATATCGCTTCATGGTCTTCTGCTTTACCATTTCCTTTCCCTCCTTATTTGCTAAATGTTAATTTTCTCAATCTTCATCTACTTCTAAGATAAGGCAATTTGAACTGGCCAATGTGTGTGGAGGGTCCATACTAGCCCATAATGATCTATGTGCTAGGAGATGGACATATCATTGCTGTAGTTCCAGTAACTTCCTTTACAGTTCCAATATAAATCAGGAGACAACAGGCTGCAATATATTCCCTTCACTGGAGTCTGTCTCTTGGGTTTCTCAACAAGATAACAAAAAGACTTGTTGGAAAAAATAGTAAGTCCAAGTAAATTTAGAGTTCAAACAAAGAAACAAGACAAGGAAGCTTTGCAGATAGGAAAGATGCTGTGTCCAGCAACCTCTAGTGCTCTCACTTAAATACAGGAGAGTGGTCATTAAAGATCACTATCTTGGCAAGGAAACCTAGCCCACAAATGTGTGCTATGCCAAACTGGACAACTCACTCTAATGAGTTGATGATGCAATTCAGGCCACACCAGAATCCCACTCCCCTGTAGAGTTCTCCACATGCTGCCCCATTCCTATGGAAGATGTTTCTGTTTGAGAAGTGGGGGCCTCTGTCCAGGTCAGTGCCCATATCTGCAGAAGGTACATTGTATCAGAATCCTGAGTCTCAACACACCTCTTGTCTTGTAACAAGGTGAGAAGCTTCATTAAACTGACTTCTCAGGTGTCTGGCTTTCCACAGTGATCTTGGCTCAACAACATCCTCTCTGTCTTAGAATCTATCATACACTCCCCCAAAATGGGACAAGATGTAAGACCAAGCCTTCCCTTGGTTAATTTTCCATACTTTTTGTATGAAGGAACATGTAATGATGTGATTTGTCCACCTATAGAAGGAAGAGGCATAGACCAGATGCAGGTTAATTACCTTTAGTGAAAACTAGACTGAAGGCCAAACTAAATGGATTTTGATGTGCTAATCACATAACCATCTTATCCCTTTTATAAGTATGCAGTGAGGTCCAATTTTTGCAACAAAAGATGAATACCAATGAAGAGAACTGACCTTTCCCTTCTTCCACTTTTATCTGCCCAGAGTTCTGTTGTCTTAGGCATGTTCCCCTCAGCACAGTTCACTTTCAATAGTAGAAACAGATAGTGCCGAAAGTACCACAAAGAATGGAATGTAGGAAGGGATGGAAAGGGAAGGTTCTCACCCATATTTACTTTTCCTTTGAAATATCAGACACCCTCCCCAAGTACAGATGTGCAAGGAGAAAGCACATGAACAATAAATGTGGCAGAACTTATCAGATATTACATGTACTTGGACCCTCAGTTACAAACAGCTCATGAAGTGTGTGGGCTTCAGTTCACTTTGTTTCACTGTGCACAGCCAACATAATTAGCAGTTAATCCTACACTGGATGCCATGCATCAGACACTGGTGTGGAAATATTCTTAGTTCAGAATCATGAACTTTAAATGTTAATGAAATAATCCTCCTATTCTAGCCTTAAAATAAGAAGTTTAGAAAATGAATGAATTGCAGTTGATTTTCACATGACATATGTTTTGTGAGATTCCAAGCCCTTAAAACTATAATATTTTTCTAGGCTTAGCATTGAAACCATGGTTTAAAAATGGAAAAAGAAAGAAAGAATTCTTGAGTTTCTGCAAGAGCCATTAAAATTTGTTTAATGCAGTTGATGCCAGTCCATACAGTTTAAAAATGTGGTATGACTAAGCATTTCAGGGTAGGGAATGTATAGGAATTGCCTGTTTTTCATAAATGTTCAGCCTCAAGTCCTAACAATGTCTAATCCTACACAGCATCTGGACCACCATAGGATGCTGTGGGTCTTCTCCTCTGCACCTAGAGACATAGCTACAAGCATGAAGGTAATATGACCATGGATCTTCCATTGCGCACCCACTGCCAACCATCACAAGTTGGAGAAGAAAGGGGAGCATATGGGCAAACAGGAGGGTAGAGGATAAAACAAGATTCACAGCATCAATGGTCTCTCCTGTCCCCTCCTGACCTACCTAAAGGAAAGTCTGCTGGATGGGCTCAGAGGCCATCTAGCTGCTTTTTGTATTTAAAATTAAATTAGCCTCCTTTTGCACGGTCTGGATCTTGCCTGTGGAATGCAGAAGAGGTGAGGGCTACAGGCTCAGAGACACCTATCAGAAGTGCAACACATACTGTAGGTCTGTACTCTCAGCATGGGAAAAGCTTGAGGTCAGAAGATGTCTAATTTATCAGAGGTACGGGGACTTCAGTTTTCTTTATGGTTTTTCACCAGCCATCACAACCTTCAATGCAGATTTATAAAAGATATAGTCGTTTGCTTAAACCACACAATTCTGAAAAGTTGGGGTTTCAGGATGTGCACAGCATTAAGATTTCTCTGTTTTGGGATAAGAATATTCTCAATCTTGTTCATCCCAATGGTTCATAGGCCACAGACCCATGTGGCCCATGGCCATAGACCCAAATGGCCATCAATGCTTGACTTACAGTGGCAATCTGATGCTTACTTCTTGCTAGGATTCTTGCAAAAATGCTGAACTAGGTAGAGCTCACAAGACATTGCTTGAGCAAGAGGGCATGTTCTAGACTACTTAACACATCAGTGGTGCCTTAATTGTGAAGACATCTTTCTAAATGGAAAGCATGGTGGTGATGGATACAGATTCTAATTTTAGGGGGGCAATAGATCACACACTAAAAACACGCCTCCCCGTTCTATTTAGTCCAATATGGTGAACACACTTAAAGGGTTTATGCTTAAAGGCATAACAGGTCTATCACAACTCTGAAAGGCAGATGCCAGATCCTAGCACCTCATACAGAAAATATGCCAAAACGGACATATTTCCATGCTTCTCAAGCGATTCAGAAGTATTTTCAGGGGTAAGAACCACATTGGGTTTTGATCCAGAGCCAAATGCTCCAGTGATTTTAATTAATGTTTTCCTTTAGGCCATAGGAATAGCAAAAGAAACAATGTGCCTTTCGCTGGCTGGCTGGCTTTCTTGCTTTCTTTCTTTTAATTCAAAGCAACTGCACAGAAAGGCTTTCAGTGTAAATGCAGCCACTCTGTAAGTTATATATTTTACCGGACATTACATATGTAAGCTATGATCGTGATCTGTACGTAAGCTAGTCTGTCTTTCAGCAGGCTCATGCATCCTGTCTGTGTTAGAAAGAACAGTCAGCATTGTTTCACCCTGCAAGAAGCATTCTGGTTATTATTATTACTTTCATATGATTTATGGCTGGAAACACAAAAGATGGTGCAAAGATCCGGTGCCAAATTCCCAGATGGCATATAACATGAGCCAAACTGTGAAAAATATGTAAGTCTTGGTATATCTGTTTCATCAAAGTGTTGGGGGCAGAGGAGAAGGGGCGGGAATGAGCAAGGGGTGCCAAAGACTAAGCAGGAAACTAGCCAGATAATTTTTTACAGTCTTGCAATTCTGAAGGAGCAGCAGTCAAGGGTGCAGCCGTGCCATTGAAAATGTAACCCAGGGTCAAAAGTAATGACAGGCATTATCGAAATTAGGGCAGGCAGATTGGAGCTTAAATCACACAGCCAGGAGTCTTTTTAGTGGAGGCTGAATGTAAGGTTCCTCTATACTTTTAGGGCACTTTTCTTTGGTTGCTATAATCATGTTTAAGTGAAATAGAATGCAAACTTTAATGTTTTCCCTGTAGTCAAAAAGATAAGCAATGACTACAACATTACTGTAGAGTTAAAAAAAATCCTAGAGTAACAAAATCAACTGAGCTATTTGGGATTGATTAAAAGAAACACCAAACAATAACCATGAACCCATTGATTATTTTGATATCAAGGCTACTGCAAAGGAACGCTAGCTAATATATTTTGCAAGATTTGAAGCTCGTGTATCTAAGCATGCCAAAGCGCATTGATCCATCACTGGAATGAGCAACAGCTGCAAATCTAAGCCTGGCAGAGCTGTAAACAACAACAGCAGAGTGGTTTTTGGTTTTTTGTTTACCTTCTTGTGATTCTTGTAAACATTTCTGTGGGCAAATCCCTTTCCACAAAGCTTGCATTTATAAGGTTTATCTTCACTGTGTATTATTTTGTGTGCAGTCACTTGATCAAGTCGTTTGAAGGACTTATTGCAAACCTCGCAGGTGTAGGGGCGTTTTTCTGCAGAAAATGAGTGGGGGGACATTTAATCTCCTGTTTATACAGGGGTAGAAGATGAAAGGCAGAGACAGCCATCTCCTCAGAGAGATTTCTGCAATGAAGTCAACCCAATTAAGATTAAACCAATTAGAAAGACATCTAATGCCCTTTACGTTACACAGTTAAGTCGCTTCATAAAATATAAGCCATGACGCATCTCAAGAAATTGGCACGTTCTTTGCAACAATCATGGTGAAAACTAAACTTTGATTAATTAGCTTAAATCAAAAGCGAATGACTTCAAAGAGGTAAAGCCTGTTGCCAGACTAGAAATGTGAAAGAGGGCATAACAGTTTAACTGTTTTAAAACTTAATGATAAGCATAGCATATTTGTTTGTAACAACACCCAGGTGGTAAAAAATACATTTTTGTCTTCCAATGAATCCTAGCCCTACAACATTCTAATACAGAACTCAAAAACCAGCTAAAAGCTTCTGAGATACAGGGGTTTGTCTGCTTTCTTCTTTGAACAAATATCCTTGGAGCGTGCACTGAAATGACGCTAGCAGATAACACCAACAATGTTTGCAAAGATGAAAAACTTTTTAAAGCATTTAGGGAAAGAACATAAAAGCATGTTTTGATTAGACTGGGTGCAGGTTCCCTCACCGCCCAATTATTAAGTGAAAGGAATGAAAGAGTATAATCGGACAATGCAGTGATTCTTACAAGGGATTCTGTCTGCCAGATCTATCAAGATCCAGGAAGGATGAAATGTTGGCATGGGGTGTTCCATTCACGTTGATGCTACCTAAGGTGGAATATGAGCTGTTGCAGAGACAAGCTTCTTGCTGATACCTAGAGACCTACAGGAGACATACAAGTGCCTTTCCTTTCACTGCTATCTTGCCAGTGTTAGTCCATGGAAACCGCCATCTCTATATAAATTATTTTCCACAATAGAATGGAATAGACTTTTTAAAAAAGAAAATGTTGGAATAATTTTCAGGAGAAGAAATCAGGATGTATGGAAATACCCAAGGAGAAGTTGGTAGTATATAGGGAAACAAGAGGCTCTATATGAAACTTTGGGCTTTCTAGAAGGGAATGCACAGAGCATTAACTGTAAAGTACTAGGATTATACATTTAGGCTAGACCACACTCATGAATTAACCCAGTGCTTTGAGCTAAATCGTTTTAGGCAGCCATGAACCCCAAGCACACTTACATGGAAACAAGCATTACAAGGAAATGTTTAGGACTGCAGTGCCCCAGTTGTTCATCTCTTAAATCCAAGTAAACCAACTTAACTAGGCTATAGAACCAACTAGCCTCCATTTTTGCTTAACTAGCCCCAAGCCTCATACCAAAAAATATATTTAGTATTCTAACACAAACATTTTAAGCTTACTTTGACGGGAAAAAGAATTTTTTATTTTTTATTTTTTTGTTACCTGAGTGAGTTATCATATGGCGTTTTAGCTGGTTAGCTGAAATAAATTTCTTGTCACATTCCTGACACTCAAAGATCTCATGAACCTGCAATATGAGTATTTAATGATAATTAAGTATGTGTCTTACACAAGATCACACAACTTAAGCTATAAAAGCACACCTCAAACAGACTGTAATTATTCTTTAGCTCAGAGCTATGCTAATATCCATGGATATGCTTCCTTCCTTAATGATTCTTTAATTAACAATGACATGAATCCAAAATGAAAAGTTCTAGTGAGCAAAATTATCAGAGTCCACAATCCATAACCCATTTATTTTTAGCAATGGTATTAATATTAACATGCCTACTCTGAAGTACATGGCAATCACCAAGAAATATTATCCCAGAATACAGTGACATAATTTCTTACATGCACACACCACCTTTATTCTGGTGGAATACTGTCCTGAAGACGAAAATATATGTACTAGTGTAAAGCTTAAGGAAACTAAGAAAAACAGGTTGCATACCAGTAACTGATTCTTCAAGCAGCCATATACAATGACACATATAGATTCTGTGCCTATGGAGAGCCTAATTTCAGAGTTTTCAAGCGTTAAGATGGCATTTTAGCCCCCACACTGAGCATGCATGCTCAAGAAATATGCCTCCTACTTGGTTTCTGGCTCTATGGATTTAGGGTCCTAATATATGAGAATATGTCAAGTGAGACTTAGCATTGCTAATACCTGCAGAGACCAAATTATAGGACTGAACAATGACCACTCAAACAACCACAGTTACTGATAAGCAACCTGTTCTTTTCTTCATTGATGGTCTTACTAATATCCCAGCCCATGTTACTTATTGTGTACTGAAGAAGGCAGCTTGCAGCAAATATACAGCTGATGAACACATTTATCACATGCTCCAAAGTGTGCCACTCCCAGCTTTAGTGTACTAAAAATGACAGTTGTAGAGGAGAAAAACGGATTTCAGAAGCATAAAAACCCCAGGGCATGAGGTAACTAGGAACTTGGCAAATATTTGCATAAGTCTATCATTTCAGAGTAATCATACAGATTTGGTGCTGGGCTGCTTGGCCCAGTCATGACACCTGACAGAAAAGGAAGTCGACCAATATTATAGGTTGTTGCCCAGCAGCATAGAGTGGTCTGGACTCTCCTTCATATGAAACATTCTTGATGTTTCTTCTGAAGTGAAAACTTCAAAAAAGACATACTTTTTCACCTCAGACTTACTGATTTTGTAAACTGTATTGTATGGTCTGCTTTACAGTAACTGTATTCAGATAATACAATGCCAACATCCAAGGATTAAGTACAGGTTGTCAACGAACTGTGGTATCTTGTTGAAACATGGCTTAATGCATTGTCTGAACCCAGCTGCAATAATAAGTAATGGATTATTAACCAACAGCAACCCATGAAGAAACCAATTTATTGTGGGTCATGTGCCATGATTTGTTATCTAGGTTAGCTTCAGACAACATGATAACCCACATTTCAACAAGAACCCACAGTTCACTGACACCCATACTAATCCCAAATTAAATCCCTCAGTGAGGGCTATCTGAATCCAGCACTGGTTCTGCAAGGTCATAGGTAAATGCCTTTCCCATCACCTTCTATCTGTTGCTTTTAATTCGTGGTACCAGGCTAGAACATGTATTTCACCACTGCACTATGGTCCTTCCCTCTAGGATGAAGAACACTTTCATATTATTTTTTAAATATCAACCAATTTGTCTACATCATGGCAAGTACATTCTCTTGATTCTTTTATGTATTTAGAGACCTAAGCAAAGGACAAAGTTGTCTCAAAGCATTAATTAATCCGAATTGCTTAGACCTAATCAAGGCCTTTGTAGCCTAAAAGGAATATATTGCTTTATTTCGGAAAAGTGACAGTTTCAGAAATCTTCATTTATCTTATTATAGAGAGGGATGTGTATGTGAAATACTTTACAGAGGTGACATTGACATAAATTAAATATAATGCATAGCTTAACTATAATTGTCATTCTCTTTGCATATTAACACTAAAGGCACAGCTGCTGGAGGGTGTTAGAATTAGACACACATGCACACCTTTTCTTTTATATGTACAGGGCACTCAAAGGAATACATGTCTGGTATTATCATGTCTTATTTGGCTTGTTAGTCTATGAATTTGGTAGACGGCAAGGTGCTCTCTATGCCTACCGAAACAGTACTTATAGATGATGCATTTGCAGCAACAACAAACCAAAAGTTGATTTGGGGAAAAAGAAGCCAGTAGGGTAGGATAAATACTGAGAAACATTGTAAAAGCACTCCACAGGCTATTTCATAACCATGTTAAGCAATACTCATCAAATTGGGTACTTCCTGAAAGATATACACAGTCCTTAAATTTGCCTGATTGTTTTCCCTTAAAACTCAGTTAACACGATAAGCTCCTAAAGAGATTCACTAAACCAAGCAATGTGTTCTGACCTTTCAAACTGTTAAGACAATTCTAAATATCTGGTTAGTCCTAGTCTTTATGCAGGAATTAGCTTTACAGATACATGTCTTTGTGAGAGATTTTTCATTCTTTAGTTCTACTGTCCAATAACTGTTTCATGGCTTGGGCCAGTTCTTTTCCCTTAAAGAATGCTCTTGTTAGGTTGATTAGATAAAATAATGGATACAATAACATGTTGATTACATACAATAATGTAAATGAGTTCTTTCACTGGAAGCTCTGGACACAGGTAAATGAGTATTCAAGTAAACCAATTTTTGCATAGGAAATAAATGAATCCTCATGGATCTAAATTCAATCTTTAGGAAAGGCCTGTAACTCAGTGGAAAAATGCACAAGTTTATGTATTTATTCTTTCCATTTTTATACTGCCCAGTAGTTGAGGCTTTCTGGGAAGTTAATATTTTAAAATTTATATATTTGTTTGTTTTTTTATACTGCTGAACTGACAAAGGTTTCTGTTCAGTATCTGACATCTCCAGTTAAAAGGTCAGCAGGGGTAACACATATTGGCATTAATCATAGAATCATAAAATCATAGAATAGTAGAGTTGGAAGGTGCCAGGAAGGCCATCGGGTCCAACCCCCTGCTGGTGCAGGACACCAGTTTACACCACCCCACTCAGGTGTTGAAGATTACTGCTGCCAGTCAGAGTATACAACAAGGAGCTAGACAGCCTAATGAACTGGTTTCATGTTACATATATCTGAGACATTCATACCTTAAGGGCATATGAACCCAGGTTTCCTAAATCAAAACTTATGGAGAGCCTGCCCTATCAATAGGCAAAGTGAAGCAGTTACTACTGGCAGTTGTCAAGGTCATGAAATGGCGCCAAACAGCAGTTATTTCATTTCTTATTATTATTCTATTTTCACTGCCAGGCCGGAGGAGAGGTGTGAATGGAATTTTCTGCCTCTGGTGCCAGGATTAATTGGCTGAATACTGTGCCTCTTGACTTGTGGCATGATTCCTACTTTGGCAGATGGGTGGAACCCTCTGTGATCAGTAACTGAGCTGGTTCAAATCCAGAGCAGTCACCACATGCTCTAAGCCCCACTGATTTATGTGGCATGTGTTGGTATAGCTCACAGAAATTTTATAGGGCCTTCAAGATTCTATTTAAAATAAAGAGACAATACAAGCATTTATTTTTTGCCTAAATGGAAACTGTTATTTTAAGATGATGTGAACCATCTTGGGAGGGTGAGGGGCATTCTATAAAAACCAACTTAAGTCAAACAAATCTAGTTTGGACCTAAAGCCTAAATCCAGATTTTAAGAGCACTGGGTCCCTTTGTGAAGAACTATACCTGATCAAAAAGTATAAAAGAATTCAAACAATAGTCATGATATATTTGTGAAAAACACATATCCATAGCTGGATACATGCATGTCTCACAGCCATATCCTGCTGCAATAAATACAAGCCCACAGAAGCCTAAACAATCAAGCCCCTGTTACTCGTTCAGGCTTATTTCCATGTAAACCCACTAATCTCTCGTTAAAGCTCTTTGTTCAGAAAGGAAAATACCTCAAATCTGTCCTGCCTTGCCCTGGAAAAAAGCTCTTTACACAGCACCAGCATACAGTGCCTTGAGTCTGCACAGGAAGAGCAGTGTTGGGTTGGAGCAAGATTAGAGGTTCATGCTGCTGCAAAGATCTTTCTGTGAGGGCCTGTGAACTCCTGTACCAACATATCAACTTAGAGAGCCTGACCATTCAGAAAACAGGGGTAGGTGTGGGGGGCGGAAAGCAAAAACAAATAAACAAAACAAAAATCAAAAAAGAGTTGGTGGATGCCAAAAGGGAGCTTACTAATGAAATTAAGCTGTCGATTGCATTCAGCCAAGTATCTTCATCATGGGCAACAACTGCAAGTTTCTGCATATCAGAAGGTTTGCTTCTAATACATTTTGGTTTATGCAGCTGTGACAACTAAAACAGTATGGAACCTATATAAATACTACACATTGCACATGCAACATTTGGAACTCGTGAACATCAGTGTCACTTTTCATTTTATAAAAAAGCACGTTCTCAACACTGCTGTCTACTTAGCACTGGTTTTGAAAGCATGTGGGAAACAAGTAATGATATTTCAGATGCCGGAGAAAGGTTGAACATTATTTCTAGAATCATGGCTATTGTATCCTAGATGGCTCTCTTTCTCTCTGCTAGAAAATCCTAAATTCTATGTCTTTTTGCAGAAGCAAAAAACTTCCTTTGTTTGCATAATTTGCTCCAGTCAGAGTAATAAGCTTTTCATCCCTCAAAATTCTGATAATAAATATATTGAATAAATAACATTTATGTGGTGTAGCTAAGCTGCCAAATCAGGGTTTAGTTATCATGAATTTAGAATATGCTTACAGTACACTAGAATATGGATGGCAATTCAAAATATAATAACAAAGTAAACTCCCATCCCTAGAAAAGTTCAAGGAATAAAAAATAGTTTTTGCATTAATTCATTTTACTGTGGTTATGAAAATAGACAGGATCCAAGCAGACTACTGTCTTTGTCAGCAAGAAAAAAGGCACCCAACAAGTTTGTGTTTCAGCAGCTTTCTTGTAACCGTAATCTATGGCCTTATGCCTTAGCATAGTTGAACCCTGCTGGGGGTCAGCCTTCATTTTACTGACCTTCCGATGCTCTTGAAGATTTGCTGCTGAAGAACACCTCTTATTGCACACAGAGCACATCAGCCTCTTCCTAGAGTTTCCTAAAACAGAAACAAAAATACCACCAACAGCTTTAATAAAGAACTACAAAGGAAAAGGCCAAATGTTTTTACTGCCTGTGCCATTTTTCACAGGCCACTTGATGGGTACAAGAATTCTACACTTTTTCTCCACCTCTAAAGTATTAAGTTACAAGACAGCTCTCAGTGGGTACCCTACAGAAGATTTTGCCTGTGGAATGTGGACTAACAATGTTTGTGCCACTTTGAAAAAAAGAATAGAGCAATCCAGTATAGTGTATCCACACTGCCACTACAGAAGAAGCATGGTTATACAAAGGTATGGCAGCATGCAAAGTGGTTAGCTCTACATGAATTAGGGGTAGTGAGCTAGGAATTTCCTAAAATGTCTAGTTAAATAAATTCACACTAAATGAGTCTCATTGAATTCTAGTGTCTGCAATTAGTAATGGACCAGATAATCCAGACTGTTGAACCAACACTGTGGAATATTCTGGGTCAAAAATGTAGCATTGCAAAGGCAAGCCTTTGCATTAGTGTTGAGTTTTGACATCACACTAAAACTTGGTTTAACGTGATACAAACAGGCCTAGCCACTTCTTGGACATAAGCATTCTTCCTGCTGCCCTCTTCTCCTTCTATGCAGATGAGAGGAGGAATTTAGAAGCTTTCATTCCCCTTTTAGTCAACTATGCAATGTATATTAATTAGGGTTTGTTTAAACAAACCAGCTTCAGAAACCAAGGTTTAAATGTAGCTTTTAACAAATTTAACTGTAGTTAATATTGACCATAGTTTAATATTGACCATAGTGCATTTAATAAAAACAAAAGCCTCCAAATTCTACTCACCTAACAGGAGAAGAGAGTGGGAAGTACACAAGCCCAGGAGAAAGCTAGGGCCATTCATACCACGCAAAACCATTGTTTAGGGTAAGTCTAAATATGGCCAATGAATTTACCTCTTAGTCTACTGAACAAAAGAGTGTGTCAGATACACAATGTATGTTGGACATAGTTAATTTATTATTTTGACTTGGAATCAATTAAAACCAGATTTCCTAACTCACAGAGAATTTATTAAATGTTCTATCCATTTGACAGAGACTCAATAGGATATCAATGAGAACAATTTTGGTCAATGGTGCAATTGTTATTTCTTCAGAGAAAGCAGGACTGATGAACAAAAAGTCATCTGTCCTGCTGAGTGTACAGTAAGGAATAGAATTATTATTAACATTTTTGTAATCAAATACAAAGGAAGCTTTATCATGAATGAACATGTGGCCTATCACATAAAATTATGAACTCACTAAAGGTATTATACATATTTTCATTCTTTTTTCACAGGTTTAAAGTTCATTGCAAGATCCATCTCTGCAGGAATGTTCAAATTCACTCTTAAGTTTTGCAACAGGTGAACATGAATAACAACTTAGAGAGATGCGTAAACACCTCTCCCACATTTCACTCCTCTTATCCATTCTTGTTTTGTAATTCATTGGATGTTTCTTTGGAACCGCTTCCAAATAAACAAGATGTTCTAAATAAGTCAATTTTTTCATGATAGGATGAATCTGGTGTCAACTGTAGTCAACTGTAAGCACATAAACTGGAGATGATTCACATGCCAAATCTGTATGTGGTCATTCTAAAAATCTGGGTATATTTTCTCAACAGACAATTCCAGCATCTCAACAGACAACTCCAGCATGGGACCACATAAGAATAGTAGAATTAACCTTCTGGAGAAAATAAGAAGTCCCCTCTAGTCCGACATATTGTCATTATTAGTAATTAGATAGATGTTCCTTGGAAGCTCACAACCATAAACTCATCTTTAGGGCCTTCCCCAGCTTTGGACAAATGGTAACGATCAGTGCTTCTCTAGCCATGCGTTTACCCATCAGCAGTGGCTCAAGTTGCAAAGCTTCCCATCACGCTGCACTCCCAGGACCCATCCACTACTATCCAGGTGAGTCCACAACCAAGTGATAGGTAGAAATACTAAATGGGCATTCACTTCAATGCCACAGTGCTTAGGTGTCAGCAACAGCCCAAGGTTGTTGGGTGCTGGTGCAAGCCTTGGTGATGGCCCCTGATGGACTACCTTTTCCTTGTCTAAAGAAATTTTAACACACAATAGTGGCTCCAGTCCACAGTAATTCCAACATGTTACTTACCAGTGTGAACATTTTCCTTGTGCTTTTTCAGAGCATCCTTGCTCTTGAACCTCTTCCCGCAGCTATCAGCCTTGCATATGAACCTGGCATCGCCTCGGCATGCTTCTTTGTGTTGCTCATAGCTGATGTCAGAGAGTTGGAGAAAGGTAAAGTAACACATCAAGAAAGAGCTGCCAAATAACAACAACAATAAAAATAAAGCCTCTCAGCAGGCATTTTGAGTGCCCTCAGCACATGCTGCGCAGCAGACGTCTGGGGTTGCTTCATGCATAACTTACTGCGGGTAGGAATCACGGCATTCCTTGTCTCTCAGTTAGGATTCGCAAAGCAACTACAAAACTTGAAAGCAAGCAAGCATGCAAAGGGAAGTCAGAAGCAGGACCAGGGTAGTCCAGTAATTAGGACATGGAACCTCGATTCAGAGCTGAAGGGTGTGTTGCAAACAGAGCACTGAAAACTTCTCAAACGTTCTCCTGGGTTGACATTCTCTGTGCACTGGAGAACACTATTGGAAAAGACAAAAGGAAGCCCAAGTCACACATTCCGAAATGCATTTGGTTTTGACTAGCTTTTTACAAAGATCACTGCATTCAAAAAGCTTCTATACTGATCCAGTGAATTCTAGGGAACTGCTTATATACAGGTGTTATAACTGATAACCAAGATAATTCAAAAATCCCTACAGATAAATATTGCCCATTTTATTTAGTATGTCTTTTAGAGTACAATCTTATGCTTGCTAAGAGCCAGTGGAGTATAGTGGCTAAGGCTGTGGGATTCGGCCTCAGGTGATCTGGGTTCTAGTCGCCACGCAGCCATAGACCTCACTGGGTGACTCTGGACCACAGATCCTCAGGCCAACCTACCTCACAGGGTTGTTGTTGTGAGGATAAGATTGAGAGGAAGGGGGAATTGTGTAAGCTGCCTTCAGGTCTTTGGAAGGAGAAAAAGTGGGATATAAATATAATAAATGCATACATATATAAACCCGTAACCCTAACCACTTTCAGTTGCTTGGGAAGAACATTCCAAAGCTGGGCTTCTAACCATAGAAAAGACCTGCTCTCTGGTAGCCACTCAATGCACCTTAAGTGACAAAGGAGGCCACAGAAAGGCTACTGCTCTCAACATTCAGGTAGCAATAAGTGGAGAGCACTGAGCCTTTGCATGGCCTGGTCCCAAGGTGTGAAAAACCAGAAACATCAAAGGCAACATTTTGAACTGGGACACTGTGAGACAGTTACAGAGCACAGAGCGAAGCAACTGAAGTGACCACTTCAGATTGTTTATTTATTCATTTGTTCTCCTGAGTGTTCCATATCCTCTTAGTTTTAACTGCTAGCTGGGCAGATAATTTGGTTGTTCTTTTGAATTTGTTGCAAAGGTTTTACTGTTTTTGTCTTGTGGGCTCTGTCTGGACAAAAAGGCAGGTTATAAAAATGAAAAGATAGATATTCACATTTCACATTCACTTCAAATGCAGTGCTTTCTTGATTGAAATACGTTACCTTGCTGACACTTCTTTAACAATGCCAGAACCTCTGCACTGAAGATTACTTACCACTGTTTGTTACAACAACTTACAACCTATAGAATGTAGTCATGGTGCAACCTACAGAAGGCGGTAGTCCTTATGAACACTTCTATGTATGACCTCTCCAGCATATGTTACATGATTTAAACTTGTTCTCTACATGTTCACTGCCCAGAGAGCCTTGCAGGGCTATAGGGCAGTATTAAAATAGAATGAATGAATGAATGAATGAATGAATGAATGAATGAATGAATGTTATCATGATCAATAGTCTGCAATTTCAGTTCAATGTTCCTGTTAAATTTGGAGTGTCTGCTGCATTCATACCTGCATCATGCATCTAACTGCAAAGTATCAATGGGTACTGGAAGGCATCAGACAAAGCCATATTGGAAGTACACCGAGCCTGTTACCCAAAATGTTAATGAAAAAGTTCAGCATGAACTGCAGTACTCAGAATGAATACTTGGAGACTAGCCATGTAAGCATGCACAAAAAGCACACCCTGTCTTCCCCAACATCGATTTACTTTTTTGTAATTTCACACATTAAACAGGACAAGCTAAAGCTTTTCATTGAGTTTAGTCTCAACAGGAAGCTGAAGTCAATCCTGGTTTGCTGAAAAGTATGACTGCACCAGTTTTCCAACACATATTTTTCTTTCACAATACAGCACTTAGGTATAACATGTTTTCAGTGTACTCCTAACAATGAAAACCTATATATGTCTATGCAGAAGAAATCCAAACTGAATTCAGTTGGACCTGCTTCTTGTTAAGTATACACAATATTGAACCCTTAATTATTATTTGTTATTTGTTTTTCGGCGCTAGGCGAAGACCTTTTTATTTAAGCAGCACTTTAAATGTTAATATTATTGAATTTTATCTGGCCAGGTCGGCTTATTTTATATTGTATATTTGTATTTTGTTTTAATGTATATATTTTAAAATGTTATTTATGTTGATTTAACTTATAGTTGTAAGCCGCCCCGAGGCTTCGGCGAATGGGGCGGCATAAAAATGTTTTAATAAATAAATAAATAAATTACTTCAGTTTATTCTTTATATTGTTATAGACTTACTGCCTCTGCAAAGCTTGCTTAACTGGGAATCTCTTCCCACAATTCCTGCACTTGAATTCCTTTTCTTCACTGGGTTTTTGGTGCAATGTCTGAAGGTGTTCAGCTAAAATTTCCTGGCTGGCAAAACTGGATTCACAGTTGGGACAAGCATGGTCCTCTTTAGAGCTAAGAGAATCTGCATGGTGGAAGAAAAATTGAGAAATAAATATGTTTCTTGACATTTGTTTGGTAGATTATATTTTTAAACAATATTTTTATAATGAACAATACAACAAAGAGGGAAATGGTCATTATTAATGCAGCAATATTACTATTATTACACAATAAATTCACCCAATATCTGAAAACAGAAGGAATCCAGCTATACATTTCTGTGGTATCTCGTTCCCTCGATTGAGTTTGACTACGGAAGTAGAATTTGTGAGAGTACAATCCAATTCTGAATGTATCCAGGTTAAAAGGTACTTGTTGCTTTGTAGTGGAGGTAACAGAAATAAGCATTCTGAAACTATAACCCAGATAATTCATATATTTGGACTAAATGTGGTTCTACCCTAAAAAATAAGTTCAGGCTACCAGGCACTAACAACCTGAACTTTGTAAACATTTCTATTTTACAAACAGAAGCAGACTATCAAGGCAAGATATTCAGACATTGCTGACATTATTTAGTTCTGCAGTCTTCTTTCTAGAAATTATAGACTCTTTGACTATTACAAAGGCAGTTCTATGTAAATTAAGTTGTATGTATTGTGTGCTTTTAAATAGAAATATATGACTTTTTTCCATTCAGCTTCCCATCCATACCTTTTTCACTACTTTGTTGCAATTCCTTGTGGCTGCTATTACTATTGTTGTTGCTGTCATCTTCTTCATGATTAATAATTGCTTCCTCCTCCTCTTCCTCCACCTCTTCCATGTCACTATCAAGGTAACCAATCAGAAGTTCTGTATCTGTTTCAATGTCCTCAACAGCTAGATAGAAAATGTTTTCCCCTTCCTGTTGAAGAAAATAAGAAATTTGGCAGATCCTTCAGAACAATCAACTTCATACATTTCAATCCAGAATTACTAGTGAAGTTTCCAAACAGACCTCTAACAGAATAACTTTAGTCTGATAATACTTTCTACTACAGTTTTTAAAATAGCATTTTGTTCAAAATCCCAGACACGTAGCCATGTTAGTTTATTGCATTAACCACCAGTCCACACCAAAAAAATGGCAATTTAAAGAGTTCACAAAAACTTGTACCATAATAAATTGGTTAGTCTAAGGTGCCATAAGGCTCTTCATTGTTTTAACAGTGCTCAAAAACAGCAGACTGGCTAACCTTTCAGTCAGGCACTGAACACTGGATGGCTTTCAAATAAATGGTTTCAAAGACATATTATGGTGTATATTATGCTCAGCCTTTGTAACTTTACTAGAATTTCCAGGACCTTCGCTTCTGACCCTCTCTGAGGACTGATTCACACTGCCCCTGCTTTCAGGTGGCTGCGTCAACATTTGCATGGTAATGCAGACTTGGTAAAGAAGCATGGAATGATGAGCCAAGTGTTCCTGGCACTCCCCAAGGAAACAAAAGGGGAATCACATTTACCTAGTGAAGATTGCCAAACAGTGTCATAAATAGTATGGCTTATCTGATTTGCATCCAGGGAAGTTAATTGAACCTTGCTTACAGTATATGTTGCCATGTATTTTGTAACAAGATTTATGATGCTGGGACGAGATAATCATATTTAATTTGTGATATGCTAAAATTCATTGAAACTGCCAACAGGGGATATCATACTTCTAAAGCTTAGATAGGTCTGTAATGGATTAAAATGATTTATTTATGAAATGGGGGAAATCTATTTAATTTGAAAAACTTGACAAAAGCAACAGTGTTCAAGGACCAGGCACATTTTTGTTCTTAGATCAATGATAGACGGGAAGAAGAAAATTAATTACACATTTTCTTCAAGATGTATATTTCACAGCAGAGCCCAGATCATCATATCTTGCCTTCATCAAAGTCTTACTTTTTCTTCTTATGGCACTGTTGTATGTTCCAGGGAATTTTAATTTACCACAATCTACATGTAAAATAAATCAAGCATTAGGGCATCATTGACTTTTCTCCTAGAGCAAAACGGGTTGCCTCTACTTTTTCTTGCTTATAGGCAACAATTTCCACAACTCATCCATCTTTCAATTTACTGCCACCTGAAGCAATTTGTGTTTTTTACTCATTTAGTCCAACATAGATTTGTTTGCTGCAAAATGGGTATAAGCAGAATTCTGAGGAAAAGCAACCCTGACTTTCTTAAAACCATATATCCTAGCCCTGGAAAGACTTGCAGGCCAGAAGAAGCAAGCAATAGGGAAAAGATCCTTCTTTTCTCCTCTCTCCCATTTTGGGGGGCTTGTGCTGTGCATGTAATATGATGTTGAATTAGAAAAGAGGTAGGAGAGAATGATACGAGAACCCATTAAAGCTCTATACAGGACCCACCTAATTTAGAGTTTCTCCTCATATCACCTTCTACAGCACCATGTGAAGCAAATCAGTTACAATTTTGTATGCAGACAGCAAAACATTTACAGAGGTAGCCATGGAGCTGTTGGATGATCTCTGAAGTCAACTATCCATTTTTTAGGAATGATTTTGAGCTATCCCATTCTTCTAATTCTGGAACTGCATTAGCACCCTAATCTACAGATCCTTGCACACAGCTAATTGCATGTGATTGCCATTAACCTATAGAATAGATAGTGGCTAGGCCCACACAACACAGCAAGCAATTCTGCATGTCTACTATGGTTCACTTTTTTTTTTTTAGGCATGATTTAGAGAACAGATGATGAACTACATGATTGTGGTTTCTATCCTTCCCTCTCAGTCCTCCCATTGCTGAAATGTATCCCTAACCACTACACATGAAATTAAAGCCCTTCTTAAAGGGCCAATGTCTGATTTTGCAGCCATGTTCCTGCGTGCCTTAAAAACAGGAAAAGTTGTAGTGAAATCATTTACAGGGGACTGCAGATGGTGCAGTGGTTTAAACCGCTGTGCTGCTGGGCTGGTTGATCGAAAGGTCGCCGGTTCAAATCTGCCCAACGGGGTGAGTTCCCATTGCTCTGTCCCAGCTCCTGCCAATCTTGCAGTTCGAAAGCATGCAAATGCAAGTAAATAAAAAGGCTCCACGTCGGTGGGCAGGTAACAGCGTTCCATGGACTTCGGTGTTTAGTCATGCTGGCCAAATGACCACGGAGACTGTCTGTGGACAAACACTGGCTTCCTCGGCTAGGAAATGGAGATGAGCACTGCCCCCTAGAGTCAGGCATGACTGGACTTAATGTCAAGGGAAAACCTTTACCTTTACCTTAATCATTTACAGTATCAGATGAACTAATCCTAACCCTTAGGATAGGCAATGGTGAGGTCTGATAAGAGTTGCAGTCCAGCAACACCTGGAGGTACTTTGTTATTGTAATCCCTGGTCTAGCAAACCTTTCTATATTTGCATCCTAATATGCAAATATATTTGAAGCAAATAAAACGAGGCATTTGTCTTTGCTTTCTTTGATTTACCTCTTTTCCTTCTCTATTCCACTCCTGCCTGTCTTTTAGTGTGAGAGATAGTCCAGTTGTACTAGATTTATTATAGTGCTGATTGATTCCCAAATACTAATCTTCCATTGTTACATTTGTTAAGTATGACTTTAAACCACTCTACTGCATCACAGTAAATACCTCTTTTCCCATTAACCTTTGCCACTTCATTATTCCAGTTTGCTGAGCTTGTCCAGACCACCGAAATGTCTGGTAGTTAATGAACAGGGTGTTTGAATATAAAGGTTGGCTGTGATTCTGTTTATAAAGAGTTTTGACATTAACAACCAAGGGGCCTTCCCATACAGTAGTCACCAGCGTATAACATTTACAATTCTCAGTCACAGAAAATCATAGGAACACAAGCATATTTTTCTATTCAATCTATTATCCAAAACATAATTTCTTAGCAGGCTCAAGTTATCAGATAGCAAACAAAAATGTAGTCCTTTTATTTGTGAGAGGCACTGCGGATTTTTAAAGTTCATTGATCAGTTGACTGATGGGAGCAAAGACTGAAGGTTTATTGCTGCTGTCACACTGATGAAAACTTGGAAAGAAAGGGCGGTAACTCCATGGCTCTATGTCATATCTGGCCTTACAGCCACTCATTCAATTTGGCAGTATCACAATCATTCTGATTAGCTATTTCCCCACTTTAAGGGTCATTCATAAGCTAGATCAAATATGCATCAAGGGAAACAAGACAGTCCAGCAGCCTTTCCATAATGACCAACATTTTTATCAAAATATTAAATATATTTAGAAAGCTGACTTGGGACCAAACTAAACATTCTGTCTAGTATGCAGCTAGTTTTATTTACTTCTCTGTAAGCACACACGGTCCTGATCTGGATGGGGACTACAGCAGTGGCAGCAAAACCTTTGCCTCACTTGAGTTCTTTTCCAAGATTCCAAGTATCTCATGGGGGGCGGGGGGGGGGGGGAGAGAAAAAGTGTACCACTGACTGCAATGGAGCAGGTTTTTCACATTCCTCTCCTCACCAATGAACTTTTTTTTAAAAAAATTGTGTGGAGAAAAAATTTTAATCCCCACCTCCTGGAATGCCATGGTTCTGAATCAGTGCTATACACACTTACATGGAGACAAAGAAAACAAGTTTCTTTTGGCCCTGCAAAGCTTTAAACAACATATAAATAGTTTTTATGGTTCTTTACAATCCCATAGCACAGGGATAAGTAGGTTGCTATCCTGTACACCTGTACCTGAGAGTAATTTCCAGGGGGAAAAGAGACCTTTTTTTTAGTAGACACATACAAGAATGCACTGTTAAAAGACAAAATACATAAACATATGTATTTAAGGATTATTTATTTATTTTCCACATTTTTCCTTTCAAGAAACTCAAGGTGGCTGTCTATCTTATCCTCACAACAAAAAGGCACATTTGGGACAATTATACAATTATTTTTGCTCTTTCTTTTAAATTACTCTTACTCTAGAGACATGACAGAGACAGATTCAGCATTTTGAATTCTCATTTCAATAGGACAGTATAGTATGGGAGAAAACATATCCCATTTAAGTACCCTGAATTCAATCAAACATTTTTAAAAGTGCTTATTTTACTGGGTTTATATCCTACAATTCTTCTGATGAACTTAGGGAGGTGTACATAGTTCTTTTACCCTTTCAATCTTACAAGAACCCTGTGAGGTAGATTAAGCTGAAAGAGAGAGAGAGAAAGAGATTCTCCCAAGTTTGCCCAGTGAATGGGCTCTGTGACAGAACAGAGTTTGGACTATGATCTTCCCATAGCTTTATATGGGCATGTTATATACAAATTACCTTCAAAATGATCTAAGTGTTACAAAACAATTATAGAATAAAATCTTTTTTTTAATTTTGATTTAATTTTTTAATTTTCATTTCAATTTTTTTAACTTTCATTAATGAAACATCATTACTGTTTCATCATACAGCAGAAGTTTTGACTGATGGATTTATGTCAAAGCCTTGGTGTGAGTTACAGCACAGAAAAGAGCAAAGGATAGCAAAAGGAAACAACTGTAGTTGGCTATTAACAAGGAAATAAACTCAAGGCTATTTTGATGTTCTAGAAGAGCTGGGGAATAAAGCTGTAATGCACAAAGGAGCATCTATACCACAGGATTTTGCTTGCTTTTTCAGCATGTGTGCCACTTTTCCCAAGTGGCTTTGCACTTTTTCAAAGATCTGGAAATTCACATCAGTTAGAACACTGATGAACAATTTGACATGGTCATCATTTCATCCTGTAGCTTTCATCTTTTTCAGCATGCTTCCAAGTAACTGCTGGAGGTTATATTTAAAAACAAAACAAGGAACCACTATTTTCCTTTGTCCTTTCCTTGTATTAATGCACTCTGAAATATTTGGCATCTAAGGAAGGACTAAATTAAGTCTGCATAATCCATCCTGTACTGTGAAAGTTTCTTCAGTATTTTTGTGACATTTTAGTTGGTTCTAATAAAAGTATTACTCAACAGTGACTTTTGAATTTATTTGCCTAGGTGTGCAGAGCTGCAGGGAGGAATAGGGCTACAGTAACAAGGTTGCTATTTAAAAGTTCCCCATCCTTTGCTGGAAGATGTAGACAAACAAAGCGCAACAAGATAGCAACACTTTAAGCAGCGTAAAGCTAACATTCTATACATCTGGGAACATGTTTAACCAAACTGGTTCCTATGTCATGGCAACAGTTCCAGGTCTGTTTAAGCCAGGAACTGTGGGAAACAACAAAGTGCATGAGATGTGTATTCAGCATTTTTAATTAAGAACCCAGGAGTTAAATAACCCAGAGTTAACTCAACAATTGCCCATAGTGCATAGCAACGAATCAGAATTCTGCTTGTGGCATTAAAATTCAGCAGATTTTTGATTCAGCCCTGTGGATTTCATTTCATCTATGCCATCCACTCAAAGGAAGACAAGGCAATGTGCATTGTCTGATTATTTTTTAATGGCAGCAAACTGCAATTTGGGAGGGTTGAAATTTGCACAAATGGTTGAACGTTTTTCTCAGTTTTTTAATTGGCAACTGCAGGTCCACTTGTCTGCTGCATACCATCACAGAGGTATATTCCCCTTTTGTAAATATCCATGTTTGTAAACATCCATGGGCATGTCATGAGTGGAGCCGACTGGAACTGGAGGTCAGACTAGATGGCCCGGGAGGACCCTTCTGACTCACTCTGTTTCTATGTTTCTATGTTGGTTCCATCCTCATTACCTCATTTAGTTCAGCAGAGCCCTAGTCTTTGCTTGTCAGAGACCTTGACAATTCCTCCACTTGTTAGTTCTTTGACAAGTAGGAAATAGCACTCAGAAGAGCTAAAGGAAATAGCTGAGGAGAGGATGAAAGCGGCAAGGATATGTACAAGGTGAGTATATGACTGAGGTGCACAAGAGGCTCTGAGATCATGTGCACTTGATCAAGATAGCCAATTACAAGTTGAACAAAATGACCAAGTCCATTTATGCAAATTTCAAATTTCCCTCATTTATACAAATTGCAGAACCTTCTCTCCCATGCAAAACCTCTTCAGAATCAAGAAATAAACAAAAAACAAAAAACACTGCACTCGGCCACAACTTACCACAATATATAGAAACCTCATTGTATATGATTGAAGTGTAAGAATAACAACAGTTCAACAAATTTACCTGGATAGCAGCCAAGTTCTTCTGTTCCTGAGATGGTGCCTCATGCACAAAACGTAGCCAGTTTGAATGCCTTGGATTGCTGGCATCCAGGACATAAAGCACCTCACCTTTATTCCCCCGTACCTGAAATGGCAAAAACAATCAAACTAAAAGTCTAGAACAGGGTAATATATTCAATTCATGGTGAATCAGCAGACTTTTCTTATTTTCTTTTATCCTAGCCTGCCTGGCAGGAAAAGCAAAGCCATCTCCTTACCAAGAACTTTTCACATTCTCTTTCCTAGTCCCATGTATCCCTTTCACCAAGAGGTCTATTCTTCAAGCTCACCTCTCAGATCTTCATACCATCCCTTTTATAAGCAAATGAGAATTGTTTTGCTGCAATCTATTCTATGCTGTATCTATCCCACCCCATTTTTCCATATATGAGAATTAGGTGTCATTCTTGTTTTGTATAATATTTTTCATTTCGACCTTTTTTATTTACTTCCTTTTTCCATTGTAAACTCTTATTTTAGTTTAGTTCCTTTCGTTCTAAAGTCAATTAATCTCTGCATAGTCTATCCACAAGATAAAATCATTGTGTAAATTACCTGGAAGAGGTTTCTAAACCAGGCACCTGCTTCCCTCCTCCTGTTTCTGCACTATTAATTTACTTGAGTAGGAGAAAAGAAGATAGACGTTTGTATATTCCCATCAATGGGAAAAAACACTTTCTGTATGCCAAAATTCCTTGCAAGAGTCTTATGTTATGTCTTGTCTTCAATGGCCATAAATGAGTGCCTATGTTTTGAATGGCTCTTTCCTTACAAAAGCAGCCTGTGCAAAAGCTTTTACCAGGAAAATCAAATAACCCTTTCTGCACATGGAAGTCTGTTTCACACAGCTGTATATAGAGCTTATACAAGGGCTTGGGGATTCCCTAGTCTTTTTTCAAGGCTCATATGCATTTAGTCAGCATACCCTACAAGGCAGATAGCACCCCTGAGGCTGCAATCTTATACCTACTAACCTGAGATAAATCTTGAAGTCTAAATGATTTACTCTGAGTATTCAGTTAAAGGATTGTCTTGTAAATTAACTATACTGGTTATTTACTCATTTTGATGGAGTGATAGGATAACTTCTGGATTAAGGCTTATGGTCCAGGAAGGAAAGGCCAGCTGAGAACTTGTTCTGTGACATCCTACGGAAAAACCCGCTTCTCACACATAATAGTTACGATGAATCTTCCATCTCCAACCTGGGACCCTCCAGATGTGTTAGACTACCGTTTTCAACCTATTAAGACAGCAGGGCCAACAGTATTGCACTCAACATATATGGATCCAGACTGGGGCCAGACTGTTCCCACTCCTTGCTGTTTGCCTGCCTCCAAGCATAGTTCTGCGGTCTACACTATGGAAGAAATTATTTAGCTAAGTGGTGAATCCAATAAAAATTGATGACTAGTGATCCTCATTGCTAGATGTATTAGACAGAATAGTGCTATACGAATCAAAGCAATACACTGGTGAAAACTGATAAAAGATCTTCTAGAGACCTTTGCAACAGAGCTACTGGCAGTTTGCCCAGATTCAAATATTCAAGTTGGGAAAAGGTAAACACATCTGTGCTCTCATTAGCACTTCCATCTCCTACCATTTCTCTTCATTTGCCTTTCAAAACCCACATCTGTACTGTTCCTCACAGTATGTGGCTGCAGCATTTTCACAACTGCTGGAGGAAAATTTATACCTTTTTGTCTTCATATTACTAAACCTCCTCCTAGAGCCTTTGAAGAGGGAAGGTCAATAATATTAACTGACATGGTTAATATTTATTATTGTTGCTATTATTTTCCCAGACATTTTATAGGTAACTGTCTTCCTCGTTTTCCTATTGATTCACCTGCCTGAGCCCTGGGCAAGACTGCTATGGCTATTGGTCATCCTGGCTATATATTATGTCCAGTATCAGAGGAGAATGTAATCCAAGAAGTCTGAAGAAACCCAACTTTCTTCATCCCTGACCATTACCCATGCTAACTGTGACTGATGGGAGTTGTAGGCCAAAATAGCTTGAGGGATCCAGATTGGGGAAGGCTGCTCTAACCATTATACAATACTGACTCTCTGTTACCCTTGGGATGAATCATCTTACATCCTTGACAGATACAGATAGACGCAATATGACGAAGCTTAACAAAAGCCTCATTAGAGTAAGAGTGCATTTCATATCTTTAAAAAAAGATTTTGTCAGCAAAAGTCTCTCCAATTTATTACTCTTTTTCCAAAGAGAGATTTGTTCGCTAAAGAGACAGGTATATGAATACAACTTATTTTTGAAGATAACTGGATTTGTATAAGGCTGTGCAAAATAAAATCTTTTTCCAAAAAGAAAGAGAATGAGAGAGAGTGTGCACGACTTTGTTTGGGACAGAAGAGAAAGGCCGGTGTTAATTCTGGCATGAATATGGATGAAATTACAGCTATCGGGTTTCAAACAGGCTGACATTTTCACAATAGCACAACATGAAAGGTTTGAAAGCCTGAAGGGACTACTGCAATACACAAAACTGCACATTATACTGAACAGACAAGTAATGGAATCATGAAAATTGGAACATTCCTTTGGAAAATTGTATAACTACAGGCTTGTATACAGCTGGGTTGCTTAAAAGGCCACTGATTTCAACAGAATGTAGGAAGCCTAATTGTTTAGCCTCAGACTACCTAGTTGCCTGACAGTAAGCCCAACTGAACACAATGGGACCTGCATCTGAATAATGGGATTGCACAATGGGATTGCACTGCTGAGCTCTGTCCTTATTCAAAAGAAAGGCAAATTCTGTGATCGTGACTTGTGGCCATTTGTAGTTGTTGCATTCCCTAACACTTCCTCTAGCCCTACTGTGGCTAAACCATTATTATTCCTACTATAAAGATGAAGAAACAAACCAAGGCACTTTAGCCCAGAGGGCTCACTCACATTTGAGGCCAGGTTTTCCAAGGCCAACCTATTTTGGATAATGGACCACAGTAACTTTAGCCAGTAAGCTGATTCATACAGCATCCCTCTCTGCACTCTACCCTCCCACCAGCCCCAGTTATCAGGGCCAATGGAGGGTCTATCCAGTTCAGCCCTCCATTCACAGAGTGGCAAACCTGCTGCCCACAGGATCTCAAGCAGGATAGGGTCAACCATTTCCTCCTGCTCAAGCTCCTCAGAATCTGGTGGTTGCAAGCATGCCATCTTTGCTACCGGACGTAGCTGCTATTCTCCAGTCCAAATTGACTGCAGGGCACTAGTTTGGGAAAGATATTGGGAAAGATATTTATCCAATGTCCTGATAGAGAAGTCTGAAAAAGCACAATTAACAATACTAATATATTAATAAACTGATAGCAAACTAAATGAACTTGGAATTCAGGCATTTCTCCTAGGCGACTATGTTGCAGAGTAAAATCAATAATCAACAGTGTTAGATGTATCTTGCACACACACATTTAAACAGCCACCTCTTCCTTAGTATTCCAATGATGTGTTTTACACAGAAGCCTACTAACACCATCAGTAGTTTGAAAACACAGCCCAGACAGCAGCAAGTGTGAACTCACTGTTCGGCTTAATTCAACAAACCAGAAGAGGAGTACAACCAATTACCCCAAGAGACTACTTGCTTTTTACTCAAAAGCAGCTATGGAAGGCAACTAACTTCAGTAGCTGAAAAGTGAGGAAAGTTGCTTAACACTTCCTGTTTGTGCTGTCAAAATTACCCTCTTCATCATGCTTTTCAGCCCACAAAGGAACAGACATAGGGTTCAATCCAACATAGGGTTCAATACTGGCAGAAATCCACTAGTGCAATGGGACATCCTCTCTTTCTCCTCCCTCTGTGCCACCTGAAAAACTGCTCTGGAGGGTCTCCCAGGCCTTTCAAACAGCTTTTGAGGTGTGTGCAGTGGGCTAAGGTGGAACTGCACCGTCACAGTTCCACTAATGGAACGGCATCTGTCCATACAGACAAGCCAGAGCCACATAGCGCCTTTTGCCCAAAAGGTGGAATCTAAGGGAAGGGTAAGGAGTTGTATGGGGCAAATGTCAAAGAATGAGAAAGGGATGAGGAAGTCTTGATTAATCTTAAAGAAGGAAGACCAACTGGGGCCTTGCAGTTGCCCCTGGACAGGAACATGGGCCACCTGGTCACAGAGATTCTTGCCCACAATAGTGAGATATAACTCTAAATTATAGTCAGTGACTGATTTCAAACAATATTATAACCCACACTCAAAGGCTGTGTGTGGGTTGTTACAGAAACATAGGTTACTGTATTGTCTGAATCTAACTAAAGTAACAAACCATAGTGAACAATTCATAGTTCATAACCAAACAGAAAACCATGGGCTCCTTTCATGAGTTGTGACTAACAAACTATGGCTTGTTAGCACAGCTGGGTTCAGACAGCATGATAAGCAATGTTTCAGCAACAGCCCACAGTTCAAGGACAATGTACACTCAACTCATATGCAAATCTTGAGTGTGAGTTATCACGTAGACTGAACCTAGCCATTACTTTTAAATGCGCTTTTCAAAGTAGAAGTTAAAATGATGGATGTGTATGGAAATAATTGTAAAGACCTCTGTTGGAATTTGTGCAAATGTGGTTCAAGTGACTTGCTAGCTGACTCTCTTAAGCTTGTAATCAAATCACGTTGAGCATGGCCAAAAGTATTAGGCACTGGGATGCATTCTGTTGTACTACTTAAGACATGGATGTGAACTGAAGTCAAATACTTTGCAGCCAGTGAGGGGAAAATGTCAGCACAACAATGATAATAAACAGATGGCTTCCTCTGCCGCATTCAGTAAACACATTGCTTGCAATTTTGGAGACCATTTGGTGGGTTGTTATTAAATAAGAACTGCAAGGAACTACATTCCCATATAAACAACAAGGGGGGAAGAATATTCCGTGACTGGGCCCTAATTTAATTTTGAAGTAGAACACATGAGGCCTCGCAATGGTTGCTCTTAGCAGCTAAATGTTAGCCTTGCATTTATCTTAAACCCAGAATAAACTCATTCACTTCAGCAGAGTTTGATATAGGGGCATTATTTAAGGATCATACTTTCAAAGTTTA